GTGGACACACAGCACTGGACACACAGCCCTGGGCACACAGCACTGGACACACAGCACTGGACACACAGCACTGGACACACAGCGCTGGACACACAGCACTGGACACACAGCACTGGACAGACAGCACTGGACAGACAGCACTGGACTCACAGCACTGAACACAGAGCACTGGCCACACAGCACTGGACACACAGCACTGGATACACAGCACTGGACACAAAGCACTGGACACAGCACTGGACACACAGCACTGGACACACAGCACTGGACACACAGCACTGGACACACAGCACTGGACGCACAGCACTGGACACACAGCACTGGACACACAGCACTGGACACACAGCACTAGACACACAGCACTGGACACACAGCACTGGACACACAGCACTGGACACACAGCACTGGACAGACGATGTGGTCAACATCATCGGTCGCCTTCACTGCCCGAAACATTACCTGCATTACCTGGTTCTACCCTTTTTAAACTGGATCCACCTATGAGCTACAGTTCAAAAAAGTTTTCGATGAAAATGTGATCCCTTGACTTTCGAGTCAGCAGGCGTACCGACACACAAACACACGCACGCACGCATGTACACTCACAAACACACACGCGCGCGCACGCGCACTTACACACACGACCGCAAACACACACAATGCTGTGGGGTTATCAGACTGCTTCCTCCAATAATTTTGTATGAAGTTTGGAGCTTCTTTCAACCATGCCAGGAAATTATCGTTGAAAGTACTTGTTGGCACGTTTTTCATTACTTCAGGCACATTCCTATATTATGTGCCACTCATTAGATTATTTTTATTATTTTGATGACGCCGAGGTTTCGAGCCTCCAGGTTTCCGGCGCCAATGTACTAGGTTTTTCCTTTTTTCCCCCTAACCCTTACAAAATCCATACATTTATTCATTAAACTCCATCTTTATATTTCTTTTGAGCTTCTGGTTTTAAATTACGTGTAGAATGTTGGAAACAAGCTTTATCTCCTTTTACTATAGGCAATTTATCACATAGGCCTGGCCATGGAAAGGTTGTTTTACATACTTTACCAATGAAGCCCAGCCACCACAAAATGTGTATGGGTGGAGCTGGAGGGAGTCGGTCAGTCAGTTTTCAGTTTCCTAGGCACGGGAATTAAGTATGTATTGCACGCACATCCGTTTTACAGATCTGGCTTATTTGTAATGAAACTGCTGGTTCCTCATGCAGATGCACATCTTGTTCGAAGGAAACATCCTTAATTAGTCGACTTTTACGACATGCTTGTTGGAAAGCAGTGTGTATGTTTTTATCTTTTCCAAAATTGGCCCTTGCAACCCACTCCTAGATGTTCCATTCAGTCGAAACTAATTTGCAGTCTTATCACATACTCTGAAAGCGTGTTAAGAAAGGTGAAGACAGTGATGCTTCGAGCAGAGTGGCAAGCTTCACTGGAAAGATCGATGGCAGTGCATACGTTGAATATTTTCTCCAGGCCATACCAGCGTCGTGGGTAATGAACAGGCCGACAGATTGT